GTACTGTAATAATTTGTCCAGTTCTGATGTCCACACTTTAAAAAGGATGCTTAAATATTGAAGGAAGTTCAGAGAGGAGCTACAAAAATTAATTTGCAGTCTGGAAAACATGCCTTACAGTGAGTGACTAAAGGAGCTCAAGCTACCTAGTTTATTGAAGAAAAGGGTAAAAGATTACTTGATATCCTTTCACGCAGGAAGGAGATACAAATATCTTTAACTGAGCAGCCAAATCAAGCAGTGAGCTGTGTAATCTAGCAGAAGCTGACATGAGTAAATTTAAACTGGAAATAAGATGCACATTTTTAAATGGGGGTAATTAACCTTTGAAACAGATTACCAAAGGTAACAGTAAATTCTCCACCACCTGCTGTCTTTACATCAAGATTAGATGTGAAAAGATATGCACAGGTTATTGGGATAGATTCAGGATTCACTGGATGAAATCTACCACCTGTGTTCTTTGAGTATGAACTTCATGTAGTGAAGTGACATGCCATCACTGTATGTGGTGGATCATGGCATGGGAAAGAGAATAGTTACAAGAAAATAAATGTATCTGTAAGGAGCCTAAATCCCTAAAAACTCCAAAGCTAACCAGACAAGTTAGTTGTGTGTTTACATGCACAGTGTTGAGTTTTGACAAGGGACAACTTTTGTTTTCCCCAGGGAAGTGGGTGGTAGGTTTCTCTTTTCTTCTGGAGGGGAGAGAAATGGAGATGGCAGATTTTACCTCTTTGCCACTCTGCCCTCCAGGAGAGGGCAGAGGGAACGAGCAGGGTCACAGCTCTTCCTATACAAGAAAGGATGTAGATAAGAGACTCCTAGTTTGAGTAACTCTTCTCCCATTAGGTGCCAATTCTGTTCCAACTACTGTTGGAAAAATGCTTCCTAAATGATGGTCAAGTCCCTCTGAAACGGATTTTAATGAGGCTGAGATCTAATTTAATTCTCTTTGCTATATAAATACAATAAACCAGTAGGGCACCTAGAGCCTTGGATAGGCATATTTATTATTTTAAATCTAAATAAATAAATACACAAATTCCTGTGAGGTCTCTGGATCAACATCTGTAGTTTGCTGGGCTGATGTTAAGGTTCAGACCTCTTTGAGGACACTTGTTCAGCAGTTTTAGTATGCTTGGCTGAAGTCAAAGTCACACACTTTCGTGAGGGCACTGGATCAGCATTTCTAGCTTGTTGGGCTGATGTGAAGACTCAAGCCTCCGTGATTTCACTGGCTCTGCACCTCTATCTAGCAGTCTGGCCTGGTGTCTAGGAGGTGATTCTCTGAGGTTACCTACTGAGCACCTCAGACTTGCTGATGTGATTTCAAAGAAGAGACTTTTGTGAAGATTACTGGTTCAGCCCTTTGCCTTATTAAGCTGACGTCAAAGCGTGGGCCATTGTCAATTCACTGGCTCAGCAAATCTAGCTCGCTCAGTTCACTGGTGTAGCAGCTTTTGAATGCCGGGCTGTTGCCATAGAAATACACAACCCCTTCTGAAGTTACTGGATTAGCACATCTAGCTGCTTTCTGGGCTGAAGTCAGAGAACGGGTCTCAGTGAGGTCTCAAACACAGCACATTTATCTTTCTGGGATTATGCCAAGGAATAGACCTATGTGATGTCACTGGCTACTGGGGGCTAGATTGGCTGCTAAGCAGGCTGCCAAGATTTGCTATCCCCATCTACTCTCACAGCTACCTAATGATTTCCTTAGTTCTAGCATCTCTCAGAGCTGGGCAGGTAGTGAATTGGAAAGGTGTCAAACACTGGCTGCCTCACATTTGCTCATTCACCTCTCCTCTGGCCCCAAGCAGCAGCTGTGGTGGCAGCAACAGGGATACATTCTACCGCTGGGAAGAAGACATATGTGTGTATCAGCAGGGGAGAGAGGACCTGTTGGGGAAATAGCACTGTTGTGTTGATAAGGGACCTGTCTCAGTCCCAAAGGGTTATGATTAGCGTATGTAGCAAATCTTCAAAATTCACAGAGAAGTCAACATTTTTTATGAAAATGTTTTCCCTTTTTTTGTCACAATTCAAAATTATGATGAAAATTTCTTGGAAATTTTTCAACATTCAAAATTTATAAGCAAATGCATCATTACCAAAATACCCCATGAAATGTTCATGAAAATATATCCAGTTTTACTGCCAGCTCTAGGAAAGTCCTAGTTTACTGTTACAATATTAAACAGTTAAGAGTGGTTTGTGATTTTGTGTCAAGTTGTCTGTGACTCCTGCCAATTATACTAACCTATTAAAAAAAAACCCTACCCTTTTATTAAACACATAGTGACAGAATGGGAAACAGTTAAAGCCTTTGAAACTTACAAAGTAATACTCCCTCTTTGACTTTTTCCACTATTCCTTCTTCCTTTAGTTGTATAAAGTCTTTTAAATAGACAATTCCATATTTAACAGTTTAAATTGGTTTTAAAAGTTCTTATTGGGGAAAACAGTCTGTTCAGATGCTCTTCTATTGCTTTTGTAGCCCAATCCTGATTTTTTTTTAAAAAAAAAAGATAAGCTAAAACAAAACATACTTGGGGTGGGGGAGAAAGTGCACAAAAAACAGAAATAGACAGCTTCTATCTCTGTATATTTCATGCTTGCAGCCTAGCTGCTGGAAAATTACAGGCCCAGCACATGGGATTCAGCTAAAAACATTATTTATAAGCTTGTATTTCTGATTATAGCATGGTTGTGTGCAGCTTGATTCTTATTAGAGCTCAGGCAAAAAGAGAGAGACAGGAAAGATGTAGAAGAAATGTGCGTGCTTAAGGCGATGCCTGGAGATAACAAACTTGGGAGGGGAGATAACAGGAACCTTAAGTTCGCCTCCTGGGTATTGCTTAGAATTCAGCCTAGCTCAATGGAAGTGCTGATGTGATCTGGCTCTCTCTTCTCTCCTTGGCCTCAATCCTGCAAGCACTTATCTGGATGGTTAGCTTTACTACTATGTGTAGCCCCATTAAAATCAACAGGGATATTCATCATTCATAACTTTGAACATTTGAAATGTTTTAAAGATTTTGTGAAAATGTTGAGTTTTGCTGCACAATGAACACAACTTCAAAATTTCAATTTTTTCCATAAAATTGTTTTTCCAGTTTTTGACCAGCTCTGAGGGTGTGTGTGTGTGTGAGAGAGAGAGAGAGAGAGAGAGAGAGAGAGAGAGAGAAAACATTGCAAAGGAAAATATGTAAAACATAAACCCAGGCACTAAATGCTGTAATCACAACTGTATGGTTATTGTGTAGGGTTACTACAGGGTAGAGTTAAGGTTGTTTGGCTGCCATAGCTTGTCTTTTCATACTTTAATATGTTTGAATTTCTTTTAAGTGTAAACCTCTAGGTTTCCTGGGTTTGTAATACTTGGTTTTGGGATAATTAGCTTTTATCCTTAAATTAGTGATATATACTCTTAACCTTAACATAATTTTTATCTTAGATATCCATCGGCTTCTGTGGCAGTCTGAGCTGGATTTTGCAGTCTAAGCTGTCTAAGCATTGAGGCAGAGCTGTCATTTATGTCTTGTCAAATGCACAGCTAGAATCTATTCAGTTCCTTCTCCAGTGCTCTAATAAACAGATCTTTTAAACCTAACCTTTTTTTTTATTAATACAAGACTCTATGTCTGGAAATCCCCTTTTCTATTGAAAATAAATGTGAGCAAATATTTGATGCAATAATTAAACAAGACCTTCCAGATTTTTACAATGGTTATCACTGCTCTGAATTCCTATTACTCATAAAAGAAATATTTAACTGCACTTCCTTACTAAAAGAGGCTTAAGTACTTGTGGTTACCATCTGTGGGGGGAATGGACTTTGATTTCAGAAATGAAATAAAAGATACCAGCCTAATAAGCCTTATAGATACACAATAGCCAGATGGCCCCGACAGCTTCCAGACACCAGCTTCCTCCTCTATTATCGCATCTGGCACGGGAGGCTGGGTTTTCCTTTCTTTTTTCACTTGCCTGCAAAGCAACTGGAAATTAGTTTGATTTGTTCATATTTTTTATTTTAGAGAGACGCAAAATAGGTGTAGTTTATTAATAAAAATAAATATTTAATGTTAATTGAGGCTGTGTGCTAAATTATCAATGGCCAGGGAAGCAAAAGTAGACCCCTGTGGTAGCCAAGCTTTAGGTCTGAGCATACTGAATTGCAGACTTTGTCTCCCAGTCCTTGTTTAGGGCATCATTCTTCCCACCAAGTCAGTAACTACGTAACAAGGAGGAAACGTTGCTAGGTTCAATTAGTGGCGTTTCCAAGGAATTCTTACACTGAAGTGGACCAGCCTCTTCTGCTGCAGAACTCAGGGTAACCTCAGGAAGGCAAGAGGCATCCATGCAATTGACATTTGCCCCTGCTCTGACGCCTGGCCCCACACATAGACGCCAACCCGTGGATAGTGTGGCTGCTCCTGTAGTGCCCCCATAGTGGATTCCACAGTGCAGAGAGGCAGGACAGCTTAAGGTAATACCGATATTAATGCACTTCTGCTGGTTTCCTATGTATGTTTTGGAGGAGCTAATCCAGAGCTCAGCCCCTTCTTCTCCTCAGCCTGTCACCTTGTCAAGCTGTCTGGAGTAGGTTGTGACAGGGCAGACTGTCAAGGGACAGGGCACAAACCCCAAACTGGTTGTATGTCTATAATTAGATTTCACCAACCAAGTAACAAGTGTGAACTCCTAAAGCACTATAACAGCCTTAGCATGGAGTCAGAGACAGTCCCCTGGGGTACTTCTCTATCTTGCTACTGAGTAAAGCCTGCCTTTGTGATAGGTGGTCCCTTACAGCAAAAATCACAACAATATTCAGGTTATTCCCAGTTGCAATGGACCAGTCAGTTACCCAGGTCAATGGTACCTTAGGTCTCTCACCAGAGACAATGCTTGTAGCTAATCCTGTAATAAACTAACTAAAGTTTTATTAACTAGGAAAAAGAAATGACTTGTTTACAAGGTTAAAGCAGGTAAAGATACACACACAAATGAGTTACAGTCTTAGGTTTTAAAAGGTAATAGATGCTGATATAATAAGCAAGGTCTATATGTCCTTTAGAGCTAATCGAAGCTAAGCAGCTTGGGGATCCCTTGCTTATGCTTAGAGATATTTCCCTGTCCAAATTCTAAGCAGCATAATGATAACAATTCCTCTTTGGCAGGGATTTTTAGCCCTTCCCCCAGTGTTCCGGTGTGATGTGATAGGGCTTGTGCACATACCCTCTTCATGGGTGCGGGGGAAGCAATCAACAAAGTCTTTTGTTCACTGATGTTCCACAATGGTTTGTCCGGTGTCTATTGGCCTTCTTTTGTTGGGGAAGAGATGACACCTCCTGCAGTAAACTAGTATTTCATACTTGGTAATGTTTCTCTCCTGACTGGGGTTTTTTACAGTTTTAACAAACACTTTTATAGTTAAAGAACAAACACTTAAATATTACCTTATAACATGGTATACAGGTATTATAAGTAAGCCAATGTTTTAGTCACAGGTATTTTTAGTAAAAATAATTGTCAGGTCACGGGCAGTAAACAAAAATTCATGGCCAGTGACCTGTCCATGACTTGTACTATAACCCTGACTAAATCCTTGGAGTGCTGCAGGTGCTCCTGGAGAACTGTGGGTGCTCGGGGGGGGCAGAAGACCAGGGGGGCAATGTGGGTGCTTGGGTGGGAGTAGCCTGGGACCCCCGCTCGTGCTGGAGGAGGGGGGAATTGGTGGGGTTGGCGGGCTCGCTACCTGGCTTTTTGGCAGTGGTGACATGTCCCTCCCTAAGCTCCTAGCTCTGCACGCTGCCAGCTCCGCAGCCCCCATTGGCTGGGAGCCAACCGCACCAGCCGCTGCAGAAGTCAAGGAAGTCACAGCAAGTCACGGAATCCGTGACAAACTCGCAACCTTAATTATAAGTACAATTAATGCATGCCGCATCCTACAAGCATTTCATAAAGTCTAAACACTAATTACATTCTTAGAACTCTAATATCTATTTTAACAATACTAACCACACAAGCAACCTAGACTGGTTTCTGGCTATGCATTTGCCAGTGTTCAGTGAGGCCAAGGGGCCTTGGCATGAGCTGGCACCTGCTCTGCCAGCGTCACACACCTCTCCACTATTTCCACTTTTGTGGAACCTCTATGGAGAGGGCCAGAGAAAAAAGGAGCCCATACTGCACAGGTAGCACTCCACTCTTGTCTTCCCAGTCTAATTTAGGATTTTCTAGAGTACCCATTACCAGCTAGTGTGTATATATATTATAGCTTTCCCCATACTGGGTTTGAATCAGAAACTTCAGATGAAACCCATAATGGGGAACCATCTGAGCCAACGCTAATGAAAAAAAATAATGGTAATAATTCATGTAGATTTAAAGTTCAGGCTAATTGTGAAGTTTGGATCTGATGGTCTGATCCAGGGTTCTGGTTTGGCTAATAATTGAGATAAGGCAAGGTGTAAGGTTCACATCCTCAACTTGTGTAAATCGTTGTAACTGAACTGAAGTCAATAGAGTTATGACATTTTACACCAGGTGAGGTTCTGGCTGGTGGGTTTTAAAATGGCCATACCTAGTCCACACTGACTGAGCAAACAGTGTCTAAACTATGTGTGGAAACACTTTAAACCCCATAAATACTTAAAATCAGGCTGACATGGTTTTATCTGCGGTGTAGAAAGATCCAAAATCTTCAACTGTTGTTATTAAGTAAAGAGAACCCACCAGACTGTCATACCCGAGAGTACATACCATACAGGATATAGTTATAGCATTGCCATTTATTTTATATAGTCTGTTGACTCTGGGTGACTCATATTTTATGACCTTACAGAGGTGATAACAATCTGTGTCTCAAAAGGCTAAACCAATTAAGAAAAGCCCTGCTGTCTGATAACCTGAGGTGAGTATTAAAGGTGGTGTTTTGAGACTTGGTGTCTAATCACTTCTGGCTTCTTACTGAGCAGCTGTGTGAAATTATCCAGCCTTTGGCAAACTTTCCCTACGAAAGATGCCTATTGCATCTGAAGATAAATTGTCCTTTACTTGTTCACTGCACTGAAAGGTGGGGCCCATCTGCTTGTGGGAATCAGTTTTCTGAGCACTTAGTATTGGCGTATTTGTTTTCCCATCAGTTATGATTTAGTGGTTTTGTATTTTCTGTAGTCTGAAGAAGACAGAGAAAGACAAGTGCTGTCTTACCCAGAATAAAAATGTGAGTTCCTAGATTACTGACTTAAATTTTGATTCACTTGTTTTCTGACCAGTAAAAGTCAGCAATTTATACCAAATTGAGGCAACTCAGTTTTCAAAATTGTAAATAGCAATTTCCACAACTTTCATATCTAGCAATTTTACAAGATGCAGTATTTTTTATAGAACCCCAAGAGGTCCAAATTCAGCAAAACCAATGTGATCCCTCTGATGTCAAAGCTGCTGTAATAGAGGAGAATTTGGCTCATATGTTTTGATGCATAAGATCTCATTGAAAAAGCTCCCTTCTCTAAGGGCAGACATTTATTGTCAAAATGTCTAGTGAGATACTGCTGACATCTGAAGGAGTCAAACTCATACTGTTGTCCTGTGAAATTCAGGATCTCTCATTCAAAAAATGGGTGATTTTTGTTTTGTTTCCTCATCAAAGACAACTCTTTCATATAGGAGGAACAGAAGTTTATGCCACGCTGAAATGGCAACTACCAACTATTCTGTATTCTAGTACTCTGTAATCAAGTCTTTCAGTTTCTCTTTCTCTAACTCTTCACTCGTTACCTGAGGCATTATATACCCCTTCTCGTGCCATGTAACAATGGCACCATCTCTTTATAAGGCACAATACTAATGATATCTCACAGCCTTTTTTCTTTCGCTTATATTTAGTATAGTAACAAATACTGCAAGCAGGATCATGAATATAGCTTGCCTACAACTCACATGCCATACGTGCAATATTAATGGTTAGTGATTACTAATTAGATCACTCAATCTTTAGTTCTCTTACTTTTTCATATAGTGGGCCAGATCTGATGACAGAGATCCTCTCATGGGCAACTCCCCACTGTACACTCCACATTTTCTCTGCAACAGCTATGTTTCTTGGTTAGAGATTGACTCATGCCCAAATCCAGATTTTGGGGAAGACCTGATATGGATCTAAATTCCATGACTGAGTCCAGTTTCTATGATGCACCAAACCAAAATTGCAGAACCACCATCCCAACAAACTTTAGGAAAGTTGAAATCTGGGTCTGGATCTGAAGATGGCAGCTAAGATCATTCTGTACTAAGGACAGATTTGAGAAGACAAAGTCAAAATCAATTCACTTTAGTTCAAAAGGTGAGGATGCCCACCATTTTGTATTAGTGCAGTATAATTCTGCTCCTTGGGCAAAGGACTTTATATTTATTAGAACAAAATCTCCTTCTGTTTAGGTTCTGCAGTACTATGTAATGTACTTTGCAATTTGTTTCATTCTCCTGTTGTTTTGCTACCCCATCAGATGTTGGTGTCCTGTCTTCTCCACACATTTGACCACTGTTGAATTTATATGAAGATAAAACTTGGCAAAGGGAGATATGAAGCAGCCATGTGGAGTGCAGAAGTACTTAAGGTGTTGTTGTTGTTTTGTATTTGGTTAAGAAAGCCTCTGGAATCCCTAAAAATGGCTTGAATTGCATTACAAACAACAGGAAGTATCACTCCTTGAAGAATGACAGAAGTAGCACCACCAGGAAGTTTTTCTTGGAGAACCAAAAGGTCACAAGTTGAGAACCACTATTCTACATCATTGCAGTTCTGTGGTGCCTAGCAACATGCAATCAAAACAGAATTAGGAATAAAACTCCTTGTAGGGTGAAACACGCCTTATCAAAATCTACCACGCCTGCTTCTAGATTTGGCTTTGCTGTTAGAATTTCAATCTGTGATAGTAGCGAGGTGTGCCAGTAATCTTTTATAGACTGCTTCATCTGAAATTTTCACAAATGGAACATGATACAACAGTCCATAAAAGAAACAACTGAATAAGAGATTTATCGGACAGCATGAAGGCCTAGGAGGCAATAGTGCCAGCTAGACTGTGAGAAAAAGAGAGACCAAGAGTGTGGTTGTGATGTTCAGATGCCATGGCGATAAGTGCAATAATTAAACTCTAGCTAGACCAGCTAAATAGGTAGATGGATTGCATTAGAACAAGATATTGGGAATTTGTAACTCCTGAGTTCTAATCCTGGCTCTGCCACTGATTTGCTATGTGACTTGGGCAAGTCCTTTCAACTTTCTCTGGGACCGATCCTCAGCCAATGTAAAATAGTGTATCTCCATTGAAATCAGCTATGCTAAACAATTCAAGTAGCTAAGTCTCCTTGTGTGTAAAATGGGCCTAATGATGCTCACTCATAAGAATTAGTTAATGTTTGTAAAGTACTTTAAAGATGGGGTTAGAACTCAGGACCTTTAATCTTAGTAAAGTTATAACACAGCCTTGAGCTGAAAGTAAAGGTGCATTAGCTAGGAGCAATAGCAGACTCTGATCGTCTATCGACTAGCCACTGTGGGGGGGGGTGGAGAGAGGGGAAGAACGGGACACCACACACATAGCCGCACTCCTCTTACCAGGCGAAGCTTCTGCTAAGTGTCTGAGGTCCGTTGCTTTGAAACCTTCCTCAGCACAGATTGATGGAGGAGACCGAACTTGAGACTTTCAGCACCAAAGGCACAAGCCACTTGAGCTAAAAAAGTCACTTAATTAACTGTCAGCATTAACAGGCTCTTGTTCACTGCTTTTAGCCAGACATTGCAGTGGGGCATCAAACGTCACTTATCTAGCATGTTACATTAGTTTAAAAAAAAGTATATTTGTTTTTCTCACCGTTCAATATATGTTTGAGGTTGTTTCTCTATTTATAGGTTTATTTTTCTTAGATGCAGAAATAAATCTGTCATTACAGGCCAAACTTTTACAGCGCTTTTGCTTTCACACAATACACCTTTCATTTTCAATACAAACACTACAAGTGAGCCACTACCCACACACTGTGACTTCCTCCATCATTAGTTTAATCTGACAACACATCAAGTTTGCTTTTGCCACACTCAGTGTTTCTTATTTTTGTCTTTGGATAAAGTGAGTGGGAACTCCAGACCTACAAAGAGTCTTGGAGTACAATGAAAGGAGGCAGAACAAAATGGGTTTAATGATGACATTGCCAATAACTGTGTTACTGTGACAGCTGCACAATTAGAATATCTAAATCAGATGTTATACCAAGTATTTTATTTTAAGGGGTGGGAAAACTTTATGAGAGAACCCTTGCCATTTAGAATTTGGGGCTATGCACACACCTATAAAATGAACTATATCAAACATGTGGCCCTATCCAGCAGTCTTTACATGGACAAAACTCTGATTGACTACTTTCCCCTGCTCTTCATTGATCTCTCTTCTCCAAAGAAAGGCAGTTCATGGACTACAACTCTTCTGAAGGTGGGACAGTACTGTAGTCCCACTAGGATGATGTGAAATGTATGTTCTTAATTTGGTGCCGAGATATCATGGTAACTCCTGAAATAAAGATGCTTGAACAGATAGAGTGGAAGGATCAGGCCCAAACATTGGGTCAAATCCGCACCTGGTGTAAAGCCATGTAGTTCCACTGATGTCACACTGGAAACAATTGGTTTATCATATTGTTTTCTTACAGAAAGGATCTAAAAGATCAAAGGTCTTTATTTGACCTTTGAGTTTTGTTATGAATCGTACAATATCATAGTTCCACATGTTAAACAACACGACTTATTTGTGATCTCTTGACCTTTTGGAAATGGTAAGTATGGTTCTCAAGCTGGAAAGATGGACAGCACTGGGGTAGAGGAAATTATAGAGTTCTAGCAGATATATTCTACAGCTGTTATACATCCAATTCTCCATGTGCAGGTTTCCATTGTGAATCCATGTAGTCATAGGACGAAGCTCCATGACACCATTCTCAATTCCTCCTTTATGGTAACGTGGATGGAAAGTATGCAGAACACAGCTCTGTTCCCCAAGGGCTTTGGATTACCCACAATCACCCTCCCTTATAGGATTTGTCTCTTTCACCACACGGCAGAACCATGAGTTCCTGCCTTTTTGGCCCTATGCACTTATGGGATATGGACAGGACTTCAGCGTCTCCATGTACCTATGTAAATATTCACTGCCAACTGCTGAATTTGGGCTTGCCATGAGGTTGGAGGAAAATCCCACATGAATCTCCCTGATACTCATTTGTATTGTACTACTGTATTTAAAAACTTCAGTGTGTTGCTACCTGAAAACTGAGTTGGACTGACCATCATTTTAATAAAAAATATTGATTGATTTAAACCAGCTCCATTGTCCCTTGGTCTGTGTGGCTGCCCAATAATGCACATACCCCTGTTTTCCTGCATGGCCTGCCTGGACCTGGGATTTCGACACACAGCAGTAAGTGGGTGCTACTCCCTCCATTAAACAGTGGGCAGAGAGTGAGCAGAATATGGGCACTGTCCCACAAAGCACCAGCTGGCACATCTGAGGCAATGCAGGTATGGATCAGCAGCCAATTACTACCCCTCCCCTCTCCCTGCAGAAGCAGGAAGGGCATTGTGCTCTTTGAGAGAAATTTTTTCCCTCTTTTGCTCCTGGCATGACTATTCTACCCAGAGTCCTATGCAAAAGGGTAAAAGGAAAATCTAGCCCTAAATGAGTCACATGAGTATTGTGCCCAGACATGCATTTCTCCTCCTGGGGAAGTATCAGATTATGTAACAAAGTGATGTGACACAGAGTAGCATTTCACCATGTAATATGCGTCACATTGGAAATCCGATTCCCTTCCTGGTTTTGTAAATCATACATTTGTAAGGGTCACTTAAGAGAATCGATGGGCTTTTCCTTCCGCAAATACAATACTTAGAAGGAATCATCTCCAGCTTTAATTAAACCATCACAAAAAAGGGGTTTATAACTACTATGATAAAGTGAAATTTTGAAATGTGGAAAATAAACCCAACAACTAAGAAGGATATAAACAACATAACTTACAATACAATGCAGTGGTTTTTGGTCTCAGTTCAAGAAAACATTTTCTTCAGGCTCAATTCAGTTTCACTCACACTTTAATTCAGTCAACAGTTAAAGTAATGGTTTTAAGGTTCGATTTCAAGATATGGGCCAGATACGCTGCTAGTGTATATCAGCATAGCTCTATTGATTTCAATGGAGCTACAATCATTTGCACCAGCTGAACATCTGATCTGAAATGATTAGCAGCTTGGAGTAAGACAAGAAGAAAGTATGAGAGTTGGATCAGAACTAGTGAAAAAGTATTCCCTTGCCCTCCAACTCTGGAGAGTTGTGTGATGTGGCTAAGGTTGGAGGAGCAGAGTGCTCATCAGGGAGTAGATCAGAGAGGAAGACTTGAATGAGTTCATGTGAGCTTGGGAAACCAAGGAAGCAATTTTGAACTGGATTTGAAGATAAACAATAAGGCAAAGCCAGCAATGGAGGATGAAGATATGTTTCCCTTGCATACAGCACCTTCAGAATCCAGAAACAATTGTAGTTTATAGCATGGGACACACAAGTAGTCAGCTGGTATAACATGGTATACCTCAGCTGGATTGGGTCTTAGGTTTTAGGAAGAACATACAATATTTAAGATGGAAAATGATAAAGACAAAAATAAGTACTTGAAGCTTGAGAGGTAGGTCCTGTCCGCTAAGATTCAGGAAATGGAGTTAGGTAACCTACATTTCTCCCCATCCAGTACATTTCTGATTTTTAAAAATTGTTTCCTTTGTGGGGAAGATTTTTCCATCTTCAATTTTGGGAAATCTGATTAGAGTGGGGAGAAAAAGATTTCCCTTATGTCATCTTGGGAAATGTTTACTCTGCTTAAAATACCAGAGCAATCTTTATTTTCTGACCGAGAAGCATGAGTCATCCATTGGGCTGCCTCTGACAAGTTGAAGTAGTGGAACTCTGTCTAGTTTTTTTATGTCAAGTAGCCTCTTTCTATTGCTGGTAGGGGGAAAGGTGAATGGATGACTAGACTCTTCGTGGGGCAGAGAGGAGGAAGAGGGGTTCAGTGAGTGAGTGTGGGAAAGTCTATTGACCACAGTAGTATTTACCTGCCTCACAAATGCACCCTCTTGACGCCACTTTCAAGAAAGCTTCACATCTTTTGTATTCTGACTCACCTTGTGTAAAGTCATTGATTTTCATTTACCTAAACTGTTTATTTCATCTGTTAATTTAACCAAGAAGGCAACAACATCTCAAACATTAGCAACTAACGCAATTTGGTGCCAAGAAGTCTTGGTATTCCTTTCCTACTAATTGGGCTTCACTCCACTGTTTCTCCCAATAAGGCAAGAAAGGAAGGCCATGCCAAAAACAAGCCTACAGTCTCTGAAGAACAGGCCAGATCCTCAGCTGACATAAAAAAAGCATTGCTTCTTTGACTTCAGTGGAGCTACCTTCAGTTTAAACCTGCTAGTTCATAAACTCTTTAACTTTGCCCAAGAGAATATATAGATACTTTAAGAGGTTCATTGGGCTAAACTCAGCTTCGAAGATAGACTCCCAGTTAGTGTTCATCAAGATCATTGAAACTAGTGGGGAAAAGAATCCAACAGGAAAGTCAAAGTCATGAATTCTTTTTTCTTATCCCTGGACAGTTCAGTTTAAGGTGGGAGATTTGCACCAAGTCTAATGCATCACTTGGCTATTTTAAAAAATCAATTAAGGATAAGTCTTGTGATACTGAAATTTTCAGTAGGACTCAGGACATGCAAGTTCCTGGAGATGAGCAACACCTTTCCATCACAAATTCAAGTTTGGATATAGGTACTTCCAGAAATAAAGCCTCTGGAGGCAGTGTGGTCTAGTGGCTAGAGCATCTGACCAGGACAGAGGAGAACTGGATACTATTCCTGGCTCTGCCATTGATCTTGGACAAGTCACTGCAGCATCTTGCCTCAGTTTCCTCAATCTGTAAAATGGGAATAATGATACTGATCTCATTTGTAAAGTGCTTTGATATCTAAGGATAAAAAGCACTGTACAAGAGCTAGATATTATTCTGACAAACCAAATTACATGTTTCCACAGTGTCTGTAGATGGTCAGAATAAGACTAAATGGCTACACTGGGATTTGTGAATCTGTGAACTTCCTGCCCTGTAAGGTGGATGCTTGGGAGCCTATAAACATAGGGGAAAATGAATAATACGAGTAAGCATTTGTACTGAAGCTAAAAAAAGGTATAGATTTTAAGAGAGTCTGAATTTTCCTGGTGCACCTATACCGTTAGTTGTCCTCAAAAGTAATATGCAAGTCTGATTCTCATTTTCTCCTTAATACCAGGGCCGCTCAGAGGGGGAGGGCAAGTGGGGCAATTTGCCACAGGCACTGGGCCCCGCAGGGACCCCTGAGAACATAGTATTCTATAGTATTGCAACTTTTTTTTTATGGAAGGGGCCCCTGAAATTGCTTTGCCCCAGGCCCCCTGAATCCTCTGGGCGGTCCTGCTTAATACAGGTTTTTTTCCCCTTTGGATTTGAGTTGACTTGTATCTATACCTTCAGTTGATAAGGTACAGATACAAGTCAATGTGGGTGGGTAATTCTTCCAAGAGAAACCTCTTTTTAGATTCTCATTTCAGCTCTACATTTTTGGTAATGTTTTTCATGTATTTAATGTAAGAGGAAAGTGGAAGGGAACATTTAATTCTATAACTCTTGAAAGTAGATAAGTTAGCTAGAATAAAAGAGAACCGTTAAAGTTTCAA